GATGATCCTTGCTGGATTGCCTTTAAAGAGTTATACAGCCTAAAGATCAGAGGTAACCAATTGTCAGTTTACAAAAATACATGTTTCTTGTTTTTTAAATAAATTCTGAATATGACCACAACTGTCTTACTGAAAGTGTGGCAACAGGCTATAAAATAACAGTGCTGGGTCGTTTCCAAGTTCGTGAGAAGTTGTAATGGGTAACTTATGTGGTTAAAGTTAGGTATAGGGTCATTCACATCAGACCAGTAAAATTTAGTTTGTTACCTAACTAAAATTATAAAAGTGATGAAAATAACAAATAAAATGTCTGTTTCAATTTAAATGGGCAATCTATCTGTTATTTATGCATAAAACTTTAACGTCAAGATGAAAATACAAGCCCATGCAAAATCACATATAATGGCACAAATTTTAAAACGCACTATTATGTTATTTATTTTGTTGTTGAACAGTCTGCACTTCAGTCTTCTTCATGCTTTGTAACCTGTTTTTCTACAGCTGTAGACATCTAGGATTAGTTTTGCAGCTTCTATTCTCATTTCCTGATATCTATGCAATCAATGCAAGCTGTTTATCCATTTTTTTCGTGCTCTTTATCTTGTTTCCGACAAGATATGGAAAGTTTTTTTAAGAAATGAGCCCATCCATCAATAACTGAGGTCAAACTTCCACACCTGGCAGTGTATTTTTATAAACCTATAAGCATCCTATGGTAATGTGCTCAATATCATACCAGCAACTTGTACTTACTAAGTTATTGTCTGCTATTCATTTTTAGGCTTTATTGTCATGGGGCATCAGGCCTCTTTAACTCTTTTGCTCCATGAATGCTTAAACTAGAGGGACCATGGGCCCATAGAAATTTCCAGACAAAAATCCGTTTAAAAAAAAACAACATATTACAGAGGTCACTAATTAATTTTGTAAAATTATGCTAAGACCTGCTCTAAATTTTAAATTTGATTGGCCTGCACATTGTTAAGTAGGCCAGGTCCCCGTGTGGGTCCTGGGGCCCTGTTATAAGGAAAACAAGAATACCCCCACTGCCTAACCAAAAGCATGTCATAAGAGTCAACTAATTTGGAGCTTCCTTTAAAGTTGGAGTGCATCTGCCTGAGAGGCAAGGAAATCTAAAACGTTTTTAATTTATCTACATTAAGAAAAAAAAAATTTTTAATTATAATATGTATAAATACATAAAGGGGGAATAAATAAAACATGAAATGAACAGAGTGGAGCATTAAATCGAATACATTCCCTGGGGCGTTAAGAAAACCCAAATTTATCGGGTGACTCTGGCTATGACCCCATTTCTTCAGTCACTGAGGTTTTCAGGAAAATTTGATAAAAAGCCATTTGGGTCATAAGGAAACCCCTAAATATTCTTTTTAGTTATATTTTTATATCCTGGCCTACATCTTCTTCTTCACATTCACCAGCTGGAAACTCTGGTGGAAAGTTCTGGTTGTTCATCCACTTCTGGACTGTAGTACTGTTCCAGAAGCTGAGTGTTGCGTGTGCATCCATTTTACATATCTGACTCATTTGTATGCAAACTGTTTGATCCTTGCCTCTCAGGCAGATTTCCTTGCCTCTCAGGCAGATTTCCTTGCCTCTCAGGCAGATTTCCTTGCCTCTCAGGCAGATTTCCTTGCCTCTCAGGTAGATTTCCTTGCCTCTCAGGCAGATTTCCTTGCCTCTCAGGTAGATTTCCTTGCCTCTCAGGCAGATGCACTCCAACTTTAAAGGAAGCTCCAAATTAGTTGACTCTTATGACATGCTTTTGGTTAGGCAGTGGGGGTATTCTTGTTTTCCTTATAACAGGGCCCCAGGACCCACACGGGGACCTGGCCTACTTAACAATGTGCAGGCCAATCAAATTTAAAATTTAGAGCAGGTCACTGCTGACATAACCATTTATCTTCCTTCCCCACAAAGTGACTATATTTAGGCTTCTAGGGATAAAAGGATTTAAAAAATCCTTCTCAATAGGATTCAAATCTAAGACCCCTTAGGCAAGCTTGCTAGCCTACGACCTACTGTGACTCATATGTAGGCCTTAGAAGGTTTTACCTTTTTCAAACAAGTATAAGCAAAGCATTATTTTGCCATTAGACACCCGTACTTTAAAGTCAACAACATTTAGAATTATCATAGATCATAAAGGATTTATGAGATCTGATGACTTTTATTACCTCTAGGATATGTAATTTTCTAAAAAAAAAAAAAAAAAAAAAAAAACCTTATACTGAGAGACTATTTACAGGAGTGGCTGAGGAAATAATTGAAATGCTGGCACCTTGCCCGGGAGACCAAGCTTCAAATCCTTAGTAAGGTGATGAACACTGTTTCTGCCAGCTCTCCTAAACTGTCCTAAAACATAAAACAGAGGTCAATACAGGCAGTAAATGTGGTTTTCCTCCCTCTCTGTGTGATCTTCCATCGAGTTTATAGCTGCAGCTACTGACTCAGTGATCAGAAAGTGTGCTTGAGTCAGTTTTTTTGTTTTTTAAGATTTTATCCCAGAGCAGGTGGAAAATAACATGTGGTCACATCCAACAGACCTTACAACTAAGCTTTGGGGAACCCTAAGAGATCTTGAGTTGACATCCCAGTTTATAGCTCATAGTAGGTCAAGTACATGACAAGAGATCACCTAAAAAAGAAGTTTTGGCTGTAGTCTCTATACAGTCCATATAAAGTAAAAATATTGACCACATTACCCACTAACTGCTGATTGGTTTATGAAAACAGGCCTAGGCCAATCTTCCAATGGCATGACAGCATTTACAACATTACATGATTTGTCAGCCATGTTGCAGGATATCTGAAATATTCTTAGCAATGATACTACTAAATCTGCATGGTATAAGCAGAATTTTAAAATGTTCTTTAGTGAATGGAAAGTTTTGTTTGAGATGCCCTGATCATGAATGTGAACATCCAAAGCTTTCAAGACTAATTACATTAATTAGCAGATCTTGAAAACACATTTTATATCAGTAATCTGTGATCATATTTGTAATACATTGATTGGAAGAAAATGAAAAACCACAAAACATTTTGTGTATATATAAGTTTGTGTGTGTGTATACACAAACACACACATATATGATGTGTGTATGTAGCAGTGAAAGGGTCTTCTAGAATGAAATGCACCAGCATATGACAACGCGTGCTATGTCTATTAAGAAATCCAATAGTAAATTACAGAACAATGGTAATACTTGGTGACTACTACTAATTAAAAAAAAAAAAAAAGTCACATATGCTGCATTTCACAGCCAATATCTCAACCTGCCACCCCATAATCTCATATAAGCACTGTTGGATTGCCTGTGGATTTGTTTGCAGTAAAACATAACATCAGCAATAGTCTGTAGTTCAAAACAACATCATCATTATTTGTATTTCACAATAACAACACAGTCTGTAGTTCAAATCTTCTATTACTCTCCCATCGTTAGTAACAATGTGGCAAAGTCATAGTATCAGCGCTTGTTAATTTTTACTTTTTATATAAGGAGGGGATCATCATCCTGTGCCCCGGCAAAAAGACTAGGGCCGTCATGTTAAACCATCTCAAATGATAACCAAAATCACAGATCAAGCCAGTGCTCTCATTTCACCCCATCTATACAGTCGTGATAAAGGAATACCATTAAAAAAAATGGTACCCATTATATCTGACAAATTGTCTACAATGAAAATTCTCACCCACATAAATATATGGCAAAAACAAAGTTTAATTAATATAATGTTTTAAATAAGTAAACACTAATTTATCAGAAATATATGTTTCCAAAACCACTTTCATTTCCCCACAGATTTCCTGAAACTGAAAAACACTATGTAACCAGCTTATTAGGCGGGTCAATTCCTGAGCCATCACCAGTGTTAATAGTCTGCAATGGCTGGAGCATGTCCAGAAGAAAGAGAAAAACTGTGAACACAAAAAGAGTTGAATGGGAGTAGACCATGAGGCAGACAAAGAAGACAGCAGAAATAATCATATCCAGGCAGACCTACAAATACTTGGACTCACCAACTTGAAAAGAGAAGGCCAGTCAGAGAGATGAATGAAGGTGGGCAATTATCTGCAGCATTGAACCTCAAGGGCTTGGAATGCTGAATAAGAATCCCAGAGCTGTACTGATTGACAACAAAACAACAACAACAAAAGTCTGCCACTACACAGGATTTAACACAGACCACTATGTTAGTAAAACGTCCTTTAACCATGAAAGCACAACAGCTCAAAATTCTGATAAGAGGATACTGTTTAAAAAAAAACACTGTGGTATCCACTGTATCTAAAACTCATCTACATTGAAAATTATCACCCACTTTACTATATGGCAAAAATGGCATTCATAAACATGATGTTTTAAATGAGTAAACAGGTGACTATAAATTAATAGGAAACATGTTTTAAAATGTACAAAACTGGCACAAGCTGGCTAGATAATTAAAACAACATCAAAAATGACAATAATAATAACAATAATAATAATATACAAATGGAAAAGAATAACAAACAACTAGTAGCAAAGTGTTGTACTACTCAAAACCATTTGAGATAGTTAGTCCCTCTTGTTACTCTGACCAGTTCAGCAGTTGCAAACTCATAAAGTATGACTTCCCATACAACCATGATCTACCATGGCCCTCTATATAGATTTTTATAAGTCCATCCAGTTCAATGGAAATTCCTGAAGGGCCGGTGTGCATTCACTGTTTATCCAGTAGATTTATACACAAATTAAACTAGATTCATTAATTTGCAACAACATTTTTTTTTTATTAAATATAATTTTTAAGAAAAATTAGTGTGCTATTAGAAAATATAATAATAATACAAATAATAATATTTAGAACAACCCTTCAGAGCTGCACAATAACAGGAATTTCCACTGAGCTAGATAAATAGCCTTGTAAAAAGCTATAGTGGGCCTTGGTTCTACAAATACAACACAACCTTTAAAGTTTTGCGTTCATCACAATGGAAGCTCCATGGGATCTCTAAAGCGGTGTCTTCCTTCTCGTCGACTGAAGCACAGACATCCACATCGTCTGTTGTAGTCTTGCACGACAGACTGCTTGCCGAAGTGGTTGGATGACTGGGTAGAATGTTCATAGTGGTCCGCTTCCTTTACGTACCTAAGTTTGGAAGAAATATAGGAAGTATTTCTAAAGTACGTTCATAGCGGACCATCTTTCTTTATGTAACTATGACTGAAAGACAAACATAAGGAAAATCAGAATCAGGTGCTGAACAACATGCAGTGGGACCCCAGCACCAGGGCCGGTCAGGTACTATCTACACCTTTCCGCTGGACATCCTAGAAACAGATTCCCAACTTGGGCCTTCGCCAACGTAGACAGGATTGATGTTTCCTTAGAAGCTGGAGTACATCGGCCTGGGGGGCAATGAACCAACAGTCTGCACACAAATAAGTAAAAACACATGTAAAAGACATGTGTGTGCAACACTCAAGTGCTGGAACAAGATCCAAGTCCAGACGTAGCTGAACAACCAGGACTTTCCACTGAAGTTTAGAGCCGATGAACATGAACAAGAAGAAATAACAAATCTTTTTAAGAAATGTTTACTGTGATTATCTTCTTTTGCATAACTAAGATTATAAGAAAGATTTCACAGGAATGTTTATCATCCTTTACACAACTAAGATTAAAAGACAAACATGTAGAAAGACTTTTTCTTTTAAATATTCATAGCAATCAACTTCTGATACATAAATAGACAGAACAAAATCAAATGAATGAACAAATAAACTTTGTTTTCAAAGGGTTGAGAATTGGGTATTTATAGTTACACAGGAAGCAAATTTAAATACCTAGGAAGTATATTTACAGAAGATGGTAGACTTGATAGAGAGATAGAAGCCAGAGTACAGAAGGCATATGCTGTCACCTACCAGTTAGCCCCACTACTCAGACACCCAATGTCTCCCTTCCTGCCAAACAGCAATTCATTAATAGCGTCTTCATCCCTATTTTATAGTATCAGTGACAAACATGGACAATGAATAGGGAACTGGAACAGAACATAACTACATGTGAAATGCGCCGTCTCCATTAGGTTACGAATACCAGCATTAGAGAGAAAGTTGGAATAAGACCATGTATGGATTATGTTCACAGAAAAATATAAAATGGTTCAGCCATACAGTAAGAATGCAGTCAGACCAAACTGTCTATGAGAAATTTTAAAGCAGAACATCTGGGAGAAAGGGGAGGGGAAGACCAAGAGAGAGATGGATAAATGACACAGCTGAAACAAACATATAGTAAGAAATTTTGAAAGTATGTTTATCTTCCTTTATCTAAAATTTAAAGACACACATACAGCAAGTCATTTCTGATGAATTTTCCTAATGATCATCTTCCATTTTGTAATTAAGATTGGCAGATAAACATATAGCCCACTATTTATAAGAAATGTTCAGGGTGGTCATTTTTGTTTTTATATAACTAAGATTGGAAGTAAAAATATCTTCTATTTCTCTTCCTCCATTTACCTCACTGAAGTGTTGTGTTGATATGTGATCTTCTATGTACCATTCTCAATGCACCCTATAAGCTGGCTTTATTTCTCTATGACTGTTCTTGATACTATCACTCCATCTTTAGTACAGTCTTTTCCTTGGTCTGTGCTAATTATATTTCTTAAATGTGATGTTCTGTGGTAGCTGGTACCAGGTCATTCTTGTCAGGTGGCCAAGTCATTTAATCTGTTATTCTTTAGGTAAAAAAAATAAAGCAAGTCATTTCTAAGCAAATAGTAATAATCTTCGTTTCTTTTTTTTCTCCTCCACTTTCTCTTTTACCACTTCAAAAGAGATGTAAGGTTCTGCTTCCTGCTCTTTTGGTCCCCTCGCCCATACACACATTGTACTTCTGAACACAATTTCTTTGATGTGGTCTTTCCATTTTGTTCTTGGTCTAACTCATGCTTTATGTCCCTCTCCTCTTTTGGTTGATGCCTTGTATGATTAAAGCACCATAAGGCATTCTCCTCAAAGTGGGCAGACTTATTTTATCTGCTGTCTTTGTATGTAATGCAGGTAATGTAGCATTGGTTCTGTGCCAATGTTTTCTCTTATGACTTCATTCCTGATTTTATCTGTTCTGCTCACTCCTGCAGCCTTTCTCAGACTCAGGATTTCCATGGTTATTAATTTTCTTTTCTGGTTATCTTCCCTTATACTGAAAAATAAATATACAGCATTATTTACAAAAAGCTGAATGATGGTTCCATTATAGAAACAGTGCTAGCCTAGACAAACATAATAAAGCCTGTAAATCGCCTCCTTTCAAATCAACAGCTAAAAGAGAGAAATGTAGTGATAATCTGACAATTGTCTTCAAGCTAACAGACAGACAATGACCAAATAAATCAATAAAGAAATTACATCAGTGCGTGCAGGACATTCCCACAAATGCTATATATCCAACTCCTCAGCAGTCAATAAAGAGTACCCATAGTGATGGTGCGCCATGTAGCCTGATTACAAGTTTGCCCGTCCTTTCCCATGTGCTGCAAACTGTCTAGACCCTCTGCTCAGTCCCATATGAATCACTCTCTGTATATGGATACTCTGCTCTGCTGCACTGTCCACTTTATCCCAACGAATATCCACTATATTGGCTATATAATAAAGCAGCCTGTTGCCTAAAAGGGCAGCAATAGCTGACCTATCAGCCTGCTCATTACCTCACACATTTGATTGTTCTTAGCAATATTTATATTTCAAACACAAGCATACAGTACTAGGGTGTCTTACTGGTCCCATAAATGAAGGAAAGAATAGTTACACTGTGGTCTACCATGCATGTTTAAAGAGGTGGTCGGGTACAGTTGATCCGGGACTCATCATCAGCCTGCAGGACCTTTACAAAATGCTGCTCTAGTCCCTTACTTTAGCAAATTCTCCCCCTCTATGTGCTTCTTCAGTGTCTATATCCATATTCACAGAGGTCTGTTTCTGCTTCATTTTCTGGAAATTACCTTCAATCAACATTCTCTCCAGGCCGTAAAGATATTTAACATGGCCAAAGTAGCTCAGCTTTCAGGACAAGATGTTGTTTATGAGCCAATTCTCCTCAATGCTTAGATCATGCAGGCTGTCAGTTTTTTTGTCTTCTTCTTGGTCCATGGTACTGATCTGGAACTGGCTAACTCCGAATAGCCTCAAAATCTAACTAAACAGGAGGCAGCTGCGGTCGCAAAGAGGCTAAGCGCTCAACTGCTGCCTGAAGGTTTTGTGCCAGATTGTTTTCAGAATTTACAACAAGGTTGATCTCACGTCAAATGGATACCAGGTAATGTCCTGGGAAATAAAGGCAGCTGGTCTGATGTTGAACATATCATCCACTTAGTGACGATAAGTTTATAAAAATACAAGTCATTTGCCCAATTCATCATAGGCGTAAAAAAGGATCCTTTACCACAGGGAGACAATAAAAATATGAAACATTAAGCACACTATTTTTTTAAAGAATGTTTTGTTCATGAAGGGTAGCCGCCGTGGTGCAGCAACTAGATGCTAGCCTGCAGATCTGGAGGTCAAGGTTTCAAATCTGCAAAAAAACATGCAATTTAAAAAAAAAGAAAACAGAAAAAATAATCTAGCCTCCAAGCTTGACTCAGCCTAGGTAATGGGAGGTAAAAGGCGGCTGGTGTGATGCTAACCAGCCTCCTTCACCCAGTGCTGATTGGTCTAAAAATTTTGTTCTAGCACAATATACCCAATATATAGAAAAAGGTTTCTTTGCGTTAACAAGAGGCTGAAGATGAAAACAGGAAACCTACAGAAATATTACTACTGGCCTGGAGAGAGAATCATGCACTTGGGTGTGACCAGAAGGTCTGGCTGGCTCACTACACTCAGAGGAAAGGCAAGACCAGCAGACAACCAGACTTTAACTGGCACCAATAGTACTCGTACTCTGCACTGGCTGCTGAAGATGGGGCAGAGCACATATGGGAATGCCCTGAGTGCTGTGATGTCAATTATTGACTCAACTCAACACATAATACAAAATTTGCAAATGTGTCTAAAAGAGGATGTAATTATTAGATTTTTTTATTAGATTTTTTTAAGAAATGTCTCATTTTCCTCCCATAAATACTTGCACATGCAAAACTCAGGTTCTAGAACAAAGCCAAAGTCCAGGAATGGACGAACAACCAGGACTTTCCGCAGGGGTTTACAGTCGGTGAAAGCAAACAACAACAACTTACCAAAGAGGAGGCCAGCGCTTCTTCTCTATAGAATCTTGCTTCTCCTGAGATAAAGCTCGGAAGAGACTGTGATGTTTCTTAATGACATCACAGTAGTTGATGCTTAATACGTACTCACAAAACTGGGCTAGCTGTGTGGCATTATACAGCTGTTGGAATAAGAGAAAACATTTGCTCTCAATTACAAGTCTGAAGATGAATGAATACATTTTATTCCCCTTCATCATCACATTCACCCGCTGTAAACTCTGATGGAAAGTTCTGGCTGTTCGTCCACTTCTGGACTTTTGGTCTTGTTCCAAAACTTGAGTTTGGTGTGCACATCCATTTAAGCAAATCATCAATTAGTTGCCTTACATAGCATGCTTAATAGGCAGCAATGAGGTCTATTCTTTTTCTTACTCTAGTCTGGTAGTCTTAGTTTCAGCGCCATAACAAACGGGTCACCCCATCTTTGCTCCGCTCCTGTGCCAACAAAAAACACACCGAATGTTTATGACTGTCCCTTATGGAAAGATTGACAGACTGCTGTCTTATCATATCTAGCATAAACACGCATTAAAGCATACGGCAGCCATCCGAAGTGCTAACACAAACAGTCCGACATTGGAAATGCAGTTCAACATTGATGGTAGCAGAAGTCACCAACAGATCAGCAGTTGCCCACGCGATCAATTTTAATCACATACGGGCACCACCAAAATTGCGACGACAGGCATCGCACCATTTTCTGAATCTACAATTCACACCACCATGTTGGTCAAAGTTGAAAAAACATTCCTAATGAAATTCGCAGCTCACAGTGTCACGCCATGCATTTAACTCAGAAACTATATCCAGTCTACAAATGGAGCAAAAATTCATCGGCCACCGTCCGGCAGAAGCAAAAATTTTGCCTCGGCTCCAAACAGTGCCCCTGCCTAGCGTCCATTTTGACCGGAACCGCCTTCTCACTCACAAATATGAGGCCCCAAAACCCACACAGATTTCCTTCACCTATAAGCCCTGGGAACAAACCAGTAAAATACTGTTTCAGTAAAGTTATTTTAGTTTTGAAAAATGCATAGTTTTATAGAGTGGTCTTAAAGAAGAGGGCTTAAAATTCCTTGGACAGTCAGAATGAGTAACCCAGATGTTTTGCTCGAAGACAATTCATCACACTTACTAGAAGGAGACAGCCATCATTTCTGTGTCATTATTTGAGAAGAGGGAAAACTGGAACATGATGTGATCACTGGAAAGATTTGTGTAAGATAATGTAACAAGAAGAGGTGTCAGCACATGAACTGATATAGAGATGGAAGATTGTGGAGAGGTACGATCACCCATGACATCTAGCAAGTAACTTGACAATGATGATATGATAAATATAACAATAAAATACTATAAACAAGGAAACAGTGAGCAAACAATCTGATAAACATTTCTATCTGTGAATACTGACATGGTATTAAGTATTCTTGGACATGTCAGCCTTGAAACAGTACCCTAAGTTGAGTTGATTCAAACACTTCTGACATCCCAGCACTTCATCGAGCATTTCTTCCCTGGGTTAGCCTTCCCGGTGGTTTCATGGAATTTGATGTAGCCATATTTGTGTAGTGACAGTATCCTCTTTTTTCCTTTTTCTACAGGTGTTGCCCTTAGAGAACCCATCCAGGGCAGCAATGCACAGAGTGATCGGCCCTGAAGGAAAGGCAAGGGCAGAACTTCGGCATACCTCACCATCCAAGGAACACTCTGGTTCTGGGTTCACTCAAGGAATCATCACATCCTGGACATGACTGCTTAACCTCACATCCATATGCTGTTTCTCACTCATCACTGCCTGCGCCCTTTAGAGATCAATAGGCAGCAGCTTGCAAATATGAGCCTTCAATGACTTTACAGATGGCGAAAAATACTCCTTAGCATGTTAGACATCTTAAAGGACATATAAGAAAAGCAGGTCTAGGGTTCAATATGTTTATACAGGTATTCACAGTCTTATGTTACCTCTGACGGCTCCAGTAAAATCAGCGCATCATGCAGCATTTCTTCTTTATTGTCATTGACTTGCAGTTCAGCTACCACGGAAGCCTCAACCATGTTCACCAGCCGAGGCAGACATAAGCGGTTAGCCACCTCAATAAGTGTCAAACAGTCTACGCCAGATAAGCAAGGGGATTCTCCAGTGTACAAATACTCTTGCAGTGCGCAGAAAGTTTCCACTGTGATGCCAGGAAAAGGGATCTGGAAAGTGAACATACATAAAGTCACTCACAAACACTTATATAGCTGAATGTTTGGATGAAGTAATCACAAATATAGTACTGCTGTATATAGATAAGAAAACATGGAGGATGACTAAAACAACTGCTAGCAAACTACATACAGAATAAGTGGCTATCCACTGAATAACGATCCAAATTATCGAGGTCGAAAATATACCCTAACAGGGCCTCAGTCACGTGTCAAATGCGCACTTCCGTCGTCTTAAATTGCGCACTTCCGGCGACTTCCGCCACCGCCGAGAGTATCCCCCACGCCGCTCACATGGCATGGATTGGGGATAAACTAGATGGCTGGGACTCACGAGCAGCAGCTACTGCATCTCCTGCAGCTTCCTTCATTTTATTTGCTCACGCGGCATGGATTGGGGATAAACTAGATGGCTGGGACTCATGAGCAGCAGCTACTGCATCTCCTGCAGCTTCCTTCATTTTATTTGCTCGTGAGACCTAGCCATCTAGTTTAGTCCCAATCAAGGCCACGTGAACGGCGGTGGCGGAAGTCACCGGAAATTCACAATTCGGCGGTGGTGTTATAGTCCCCGGAAGTGCGCAACTGACACGTGAATGAGGCCCTGTTAGGGTATATTTTCAGCCTCGATAATTTGGGACTGTTATTCGGAGGATAGCCGAATAAGTAATGTAAAGCTTAGGTGGAGAACTAAACAAGTTGCAGCAAATCAAAAACTAGGGAAATATGAGGGTGCTAGATAGGACACACATTGGGAAAATGATAATAGTGTAACTGTAATGTTTTTTCACTGAAACTCACACAGCAAAAGAGATACAGAGAGAATGAAATAAACACAAAGAAGGAAATTATAGACGAAAATAATATCACAGAGACTGGACAGTTTGTTGACTGTAACTGGTCTTGAAAAACTTGTTATGTTTGCCTTTTGTTTATTTTTTTGTGTGCTAAGACTATAGCTATACTGCAATCAGCTCATTGTCATGGGTTTTAGATGTTTACTTTGTTAATAGACTGCAAACAAATGCTTAGAAATTTACAGATAACATTCACAACTAATACGGGTACAACTAACAATATTTTCGTTACCACTTCTGATGAGGATTCTATAAAATCGCTGTTAAACATCGCATACATCATCTCACAGCGTCCCATGAGAAGAGCCTTGTGGGCTGAGACCACTCCATTATCAACTTCAAAAGAGATATCTGAAATCCAGTAGGTATTTTCAAAGTCAAGATAGTAGCTAGGAATATATAAAATTTAAGTAAAGAATCCTGTTTGCGCAAGAAGCATCCTGTTCGATTGATGCTAGACTAGATGCTAGTTTCCGTGGTAAAGAGGCCAAGCCATTTGCCTCCGGCTCTGAAGGTCACTGGATTCATTTCACGGCTCTGCCGTTCATTTGACATGTGCAACTGTTACGGACGTCGGTGTTGTATATTTATGTAATATGCTCATCAAGACTCTCTAGCCGCAACGTTTACGTTGATTGTGTTTTTTGTAAGAAGCTGACGGGTTCTGGTTTTTGTCTGGTTTGATATCTTTTCATGATACTATTTCTGTCAATGTTTAGTCGATAATTAAAAAAAATTGTTTCTCCTGTCTCTAACATTTACAGTATGCAAGAGCCCTTCAATATAAATTTTAAAAAATATTCATATATTTGCTAAACTCGGGCTAAGATAACATGAAATGGAAGAATTGCATTAGAGTTGCATAAAGTTAGTGTTCATCTTAAACTCGAAAAGTGTGCAGTTTAAATTAATACTTTCCTATTTGCCTGGTGTGTGGATCGGATATGTAACCCCATAGGACAATTTTCACAAATATGGTTGCACAATTCACAAGTGAATTCACAAGCTACATAACAAAACTTGTAACATAACATTTGTATTTAGATGGTGGAAAGCACAAAATAAATAAATGTACAAAATTAATAAACAAATAAACATCAAGTCTTTAAACCTCTGGAGACAGAACCTTTTTTAAGTTTCAGTGCCAAAAAGACAAAGCCTCCAGGAGGGAATTCTCATAGTTTATACATAAAAAATTATGGAAAAAAAAAGCGTTTAATTAACATATACAAAATTCTATATATTTGTGTATCCCAAACTTTTCTTGGTTGCGGCGAGTTTTTTCAATTAAAATTTTTCCGAGGCACCCTAATTTAAGTAAGAGTACAACTTTGTCTTGGTTAAATTAATTATGAAGCTTTTACAATATTTCGCATGCCCCTGTGAAGAGGTTGCGGCTCCCCCGGGCGCACAGTTTGGGAATCAAAGATGTAGAAAATTGAATGAGCTAACAGAATATTTATTAATTAAACTGAAATCTCAACATTTATTCAAATTAGTTATTCTAATTTGCATAATTTATGAAAGCATTTTCTTTTAAAACTTGGGAACAAACATGACTAAATTAATAAATTTGGGTGAATTTTTTTATGGATGAAGCTTGAATAAGTCCTAATACTTGTGCTTTGGGAAGTAAGGCCCTTGGAGGCCCTTCAGACACATCTGGCACATGGTTCTACTCATTTTCCTGCCTCCAGCTATGTTTCGGTTGCTATGATGCAACAGTCTTTTTCACCACTGTTGGGTATAGGTAACCCCAGAAAAAAATTGATGTAAATTTACCGAACACATCAGACTTTCTCAAAAACGTCACTGAACAGCCCGCATGTGCAAGAAATGCGAGAAGCAATCTGATTGGCTGGTATGAAAACCTGCCAGCCAATATCAAGGCGTGTATTTTATAGATCCTTCCGATCGGCCCATTTGGCTACTTTGAGTCGTGGCGATATTGCGGCCGCATTGTCTCCAAAGGGGTAACACAAAAACAAGATACCATATCTTCAGTTATATAACCCAGATAGCTGAACACAATGCTGCTGGAAAAGACAATAAATACCTGAGAGGAATTCCTTGTTAAGGGCAAGTTCTCGTAATCTCAGTATTCTGTTCTCATGAAACTGTTTATCTTTTTCAATATTGAGGAAATCTTGATTGGACATTATGTTGTCAACAACAACCATCAGATCTGTCAGCTGTTTACAAAAATTAATAAATATGTTTACTTCCTGATTTAAAAACAAAAAATCTGATAACAATTGTATCTGCAGAGCTGATAATTACTATTTCAATCCTCAAATATTAAATATGTCAACACTTACCCAATGTACATCTCTTAACATAAAATTTGAAAAATGATGTTTCTCAGAACAACAATCAAAATTAATACCAATGTTTTTAAAAGCAGTGACAATAAAAATGAACAATCCCATAGTATGCAGACAAAAAGAACATGTGGTAAATTTGAAAATTATGTGGAAATCATTTGGCTAACTTGAATTTCTGTTGACAAGATGTTCAGTGTAACTAGAGGACTGTGGTTTTTGTATTTCAGTAGAATGGATTCATTTTCGTGCTTTTGTTAATTACTGATGTAACTGTTTAATGCACCTGACAAGACAGCAAAATATACCAAGCAAATAAACTGTGCCTATCACCGTCTGTGTCCACATTATTTGAATTTGCTAAGAGAAAAGACTGGTCTGAAGGCTTTTACAGTTCACTGATTTTGGTTAAAAAAGAAAATGTGTCCATATTTAAATGGGCTACAACTTTATGGCAGTCTGGAGGCATTTTTGGAATGAATAGTGTGCATGCATGTGTGTGAGAGCTGGCAAATTTGATGAGTTTTGTATGCTTGTGTAATATACAACAAATGCAAGAGTTATAATACAACAAACATAAGAGGTATCTCAATTATATCCTTACTCAAACAGGGCTGCAAGATACATCAGACTGGTGTGGCCATTATGGATATCCCAATTATAACTTCTCTATAGAGTAAATAGGTTACCTTGGATTTGCCAAGTTGGCTTGCCAACCAAGATGCAATTTTTCTCATCTCAGGGTGGTCAAACCTTCAGGTAGCAGCCCAAAGGGGATAAAACAGAAGAAAAGATATCTCTGTTTATGAAAATGTTAAACATCAATTATCTCAAATTTTTTCATTTTACTTTTCAAGTAAACTCTACAGAGAAAAATTACTACTTAAATTTAAAAAGAAAAGAAAAAAAAACATTCTTATACCTGCATTAATTCAGCACTCTTTCGAATTTCTTCAAGACTGACACCACATGGCCGTAAACTTCCAGTGTAAAGGTATTCAATGATCACTTCAAATGACCGAGGCCGTATTTCCTCACACATCCTCACATATGTCCTCAGTCTACAGTTCTTCATGCTGTCATCCAGCTCTAACCGAATCTCTACCGAATCAACAGCGATATGATTGTAAGGAATATTTAAAGGGAAACCTGAACACACGTGAGAAAAACTGTCAGCAGTGTTGATATGAACCTCCTCCACGACAGAACTGTTGACACTAGAATCTTCTGTATCTGTACTGTTGCAATCACTGTCTAGTAAGTTTTCACCATCTGAATAGCTGAACCTCCCGGGAAATTTACTCTGTGTGCGCTGGCTAATCTTGTGCTTGTTGGGAAGCTTCACCATTGATACCACTGTAAATAAATCCTTAAAAAACATCGAAGCCACGGCTAAACAAATTTTGTGGGCCTCCACCACGTGACTGTGAACCAGGAAAGTGACATCACACTCAGACCTATTGTATAACATGGCTGAAATGTCTGATTTCAATAATGCTGTTGGTATTTTTACATGGGGAGCAGGTGGAACTGGTATCTGTATGGGTGCCTGGACTAGGGGCTGTTGGATTCGACGCAGCTGTGCATTCCAGAATTTTATTTTGCGTCGTTCAATGAGAGCAACTCGCGATGCATTCACAAAGACATCTTCTACACCGTAGTGAGTCAGGACACTGGTCTCATAATAGGGAGCTCCAATTTCTTTTGCTACTTCTCTTCCTTCACTAGGAGTGATGATATCCTTAGGAGAGATCTTTCTGTAAAAGGCAAAAGATGAAACTTGTTAGTAGTTACAATTCTACAAGTAAAATAAATAAGCTGTCAGTAAAAGGCAGATCTTTTTATTATCCTGCTTTGAAATTCCTACCAATTTATCGGCAATCAAATAAACTTAATGTTAGCCACCCTTTAAAGATATTCATATCCCCCCCCCCACACACACACACACACAAAGACAACACAATCACACACAAATAATAATAAAGCTTTAATTTTACCTAAACAAAAACTGTCTCCGCTGTCTGTATTTACCACTCTTTAGAGTGGTAACGGATGGGATGAAAGAGATGAGGGGTGGGGGAGCAAGAGGTTTTAGGATACACTATCAAGTGACGCTGCCTCAAACTGCTCTTTTTAGGATGTTTACTGTTGCTCCTGACAACAACAACAAAACTTACAACACTTTAAATGAAGATTTGAATCTGGATCTCCTGCATGAAAGCCCAGACTTCTAGCCACTTGGTCAGCTGTTCCTCTGGAGTCAGAGTTTACTAACTATAAAGTTTTACTAATGTTATTAAATCACAACCGATAAATAAACAAGTTAAATACTGTACCTATACAACAGGCCCTTCTCCATGTTGATATATTTGTCATCAAAACAGAGGTAGCGTAGATCAGCTTGTGTTCCGCACAGAACAATAGGTGTGGTCGGACAAAAACGACGAATCTCAGGGTGCCAAAACCGACAAACATTTAGCAAAGAATTTGGCCGCATAACACTGAAGCAACATATAACAACATCAGCCCTGAAAGTGTAAATTTATAAATGTATCAATGTATATACTGCTCCGGTAACTTCTTAAAGAAGATGTAATAATAATTTTACAAACTGTGCTTTTTTTTTTTCTATGTTTCCCGTGTGAGTTTAGGAACCCGGTTATAGGGAAAACAAGAATAGACCCACTGCCTACCCAAAAGCATGTCGTACGAGCCGACTAATTGGGAGCTTCCTTCAAAGTCGGAGTGCATGTGCCTGAGAGGCAAGGAACCAGCAGTCTGCCTACAAATGAGTCAGATCTGTAAAACACTCAGGTTCTGCAACATGATTGCAGTCCAGAAGTTGATGAAAAACCAGAACTTTCCGCTAGAGTTTACAGCTGGTGAACGCGAAGAAGAAGGAAAGATTTTCTATTTGGTAATTCAACATTTTAAAAATAACAGAAGCATTCATGCGAAATTTTGTCGGCACCTTTCCTCTGAACAGACAATATTGTTATGTTCTGCTATACAGAGGTGCAGAAAACACAGGGGACTGTGATACTGTAACTAGCAACACCTGATTGCTTATAGACAAGTTTTCCAAAATTATGTATGTGATTTCAGGATTATTGTTGCCATTGCATATATTTAATGAGCTTCTTCTCATATGCTCAGCTCACAATATAACCGCAATTTTGTGTGTGTTCCTTTATCCATATTACCTTTCTGGTTTCCCCACTCCGTGTAACATGATCCATGGCCTCATGTTCCCATAAATCTACCTCAATACCTGTACCATTCACATCCAATTTGCACACAATTTTACATCATAGTAGTGGCCAACTTCAGTATCTTCTACCCTTCTGTAACTCAAAATAGAGGATGTCCTCAGGAACTTAACTATCTATATGAAAAGTATTCATATGGTCCTTTTACAATAAAATGCTTAATTTCTTATAGTGTTAAACAGCACCACATGCCTACACTAAATTTAAGACTAAACAAAATAAAGACGATACAATGTATCCAAAAATCCAAAAACAAAAACAGAAAAGGAAAAATCGTCTTTATTTAAATCAGCACTGAAAAGCAGTAATTAAATTAAACAAACATGCCTGCATTTATTTATTCACTGTTTCTGCTATATTCTTTAAAAAAAATTATTAACTCTAATTCTACCAGTTTGTAAACAAAAACCCCGAGCTAAACTCTAATTCTACTATTTTTTAAACAATAATACTTTGCTAAGCTCTAATTCTATCACTCTGTAAACAAAAACACTTTGCTAAACTCTAATTCTACCTCTCTGTCAATAAAAACACTTTGCTAAACTCTAATTCTACCTCTCTGTCAATAAAAACACTTTGCCAAACTCTAATTCTATCGCTCTGTCAACAAAAACACTTTGCTAAACTCTTATTCTACTGCTCTGTGAACATAACACTTTGCCAAACTCTAATTCCTACCTCTCTGTCAATAAAAACACTTTGCTAAAATAAAGTTCATCGTCCATCATGTGCTGACTGGTCTATAAAAATATAAGTCTAGCATGATACGCCTGATATGCCACTGGCATACTAAATTCTCATTCTATGATTGTGTGAACAAAAACACCTTGCTAAACTCTAAGACAGTTACTGAAATGGGAAAAATACCCTCTGTATGCAAACCGTCTGTCCTTGTCATGGTAGCCAAAGGTATCCCACAGTCTTATAGAAACCTGGCAACCATCTATGTCACTCCAAGAGCGGTCCAATATCTGAGAGAGATCAAAGTTGTGAAATCAGAATTATAGAAAATATAGTTTTTAAAATATGCTACACTAAAATTGTACAATTCTTTTCAGTCTGTGAGATTCTGAATTAATTAATTTGTTGGTGTATAAGACACACCCTAAAAATTTAAAGAAATTTTCCAGAAACAAAATGCAAATTTAATCCTTGCACTTCTATCAATACATGTCTCTAATTCCAAACATGTTGTAAACTGGGCACATTTTTCTTTGTTCATTTTGCACAAAATATCCTGTTGTGACCTTATGGTTTCTTCCCTGTCTGAAACAAGATCATACTAACCTACTGCCGTGTTTTTCAGTATATTTTATCATCTGGTGTCTGAAACTTGTGGTTTAGAAATGTCACTTACTATCTTTTACCATACTGCAGGCAACTATGAAAAAAATTAATGGTACATACAGGCCTACCTCTGTATGAAAACAATGGTACATATAGGCCTATCTTTGTTATATAAGATGAATAAGGTCTATTTTGAGAAAAGAAAATGCATCTTATACTCTGACAAACATGGTACATCACATCTGTTTGATATGCACTGCTGCATCAATCATATGGCTGTTGCTATTCACCTTCGTCTTCTTCTTGCCGCTCACTGGCTGTAATCTGTGACGGAAAGTTCTGGTTATTCATCCACTTCAGGATTTTAGTCTCGTTCCTGGACCTGAGTTTGCATGCCCATCAGTTTTACAGCTTAGGCTTATTTATGTGCAGACTGTTGAATCCTCACCCCAAAGGCAGAGGCACTCTAACTTCGAGGGAATCATCAATCCTCCCCACACTAGCCAGGACCCCTGGTTGTGAACTTGTTTCTAGGATAACTGCAGAGAGGTAGAGGTGTAAACAGATCTTGACCAGTACGAGCCCTGTCCTGGTGTACCACGCATTGTTCAGCACCCCTGCATCCTCATCACTCATCTAAATCACATGAGAAACCATACAGTAAAAGACTAATTCAACTCGGGGCGAGTAGATGTTCTGGAAGAATTTCAACACTGAGGGGGAAACAGGTGCACTTTTAATCAGTTTGCAATGGTACTATTAGCATGTCGACTCTTCGTTGGCTACTGAATGCTAAACGAAGACTCAACATTAAAACACTCGGGACATTAACATAAGTGCTCCGTCCTCATCTTCAGCAGCAAGTGAAGAGTTCCAATTCTGATGGTACCAGTAACTGTCTGACTGTACATCCTTCTCGTCTTACCCTTGAGTGCTGAGCGTCGACCAGATCCCTCTGGTAACTGTCCGCAGCGTCATTCTTCTCAGATCCATAATAGTCCATTTGTGCCTCCGCACTGTTCACGCACTTCAAAAGGGCCCTCCCAACATCTAGCTTGTTATTCATCAATTCACCACCAAGTGGTGCAGAACTGGCCAGTTTATCTGCCTGCTCATTTCCCAACACACCAGCATAGATAATATCTAAAGGACGGTTGGCTACTGAAGAAATGAGAATATCCAGGGAGGTCAATGCTTGATTCATTCATTTATCTAAATCACATACCTCTTTATCATGTCGATAATGGTCAATGGCCCAAACAGATGCCTGATAGGTCTTGACTAATTTCTGGAGGTCATATTTAGCATTGCAAGCATATGAGCAAGTCAGACAGGTTTTGCCAATTCCAGAATCTCCCACAATGATGCATTTTATGATCTCCTCAAAACCAGTTCCCGTTTCATTCACCATCATGTAGATAAGGTGAGATTTTCATAATCTTGACATCTCCACCCAACTTCCATTACCAATGTCTGCAACAAATAGAGAGAATAATTATTGACGCTTTTGGTATGATGCAACTAACCATATGGTCATTATTTTGTCTACAGACACTGCATATTTATATTCTCCTATTATCGTAAACGAGCAAGTGTCTGTGGCCTAGGAAAGCAATTGCACTTTGTAATTCAAAGGTACTCGGTTCAACTAATGCTGTGAGCGAATTAGCAAACTACTGAATGTAAAACAGTCTAGTAAAAACCCCAAAACAAACAACAAATACTGGGGTTAGTTCTGCAAAGTCCTGCAAAAGATACACAACCAACTCATTGTAAACAGTTGTAACCTGAAATGTTAGTTTTATTCCTGTTGCAACAGTACTACTATTTTAACTTATTTTGGACTCAAACTTTGGCTACTTTAAACTAAAACTTCTTAGGCTATATTAAGTCAAAGAAATTATAAACTGGTATGCAAAGAGTTAAATAACAGATACAGTTTTACTAACAGGTCTCTGCTGTGAAATGGTTCAGCCGTTTATCTCACATAGTAGTAGTTATTTTCACAAAAAATATCCTGTTCAACCCTCAGGGTTATTACTGAGAAATAGAGTGTTCGAGTTCTCAGAGTATTCTTTTGTTATGTAATAAAGTTGCATCATTATGTATTTAGGACAATTATGTAATTTGTATTATTGCTTCACATATTACTTTGTTTACTCCTCTCTGGTCTGTGATTAGGTAGAAATTGTACTATGAATATTTAGATAAAACACAAATTTAAGATTGGCCAATCGGCCATGTGTACTTGTGGACTGGCACCTGAAACAACAGATCACATCCTTCAAGACTGTCCCATATTCAACGCTTTCAGGCAAAACATTTGGCCAAAAGAGACACTTGTGGAAGTCAAACTTTACGGGCCGCTTAGTGAATTACAAAAGACAGTGAAATTCATACAAGAGACGGCTTTGCAGATATAGACAATTTATTTCATGCGAACGAAAGAAGAAGAAGAATTTAGATAATCTTACTAACACTGTATATTTAAAATAGTGGCTTTGTTATACCCTTAGTATAATAAATTATTATCCTCATCGATTTTATCTTTAGAAGAGCTTTCTTCAAAGATGGCAAGGGGGTTCTTTTCCTTTCTACACATACATTTTAGTTTTAGCTCACGAAATGAGGGTTCTGCATTTGATCTCGGACTCTATCATTCAATTCATGAGTGCAAATGTTTTAGAGATCCCTGTTTGTTGTTGCTGGAGCTACAGAGTTCACACTCTGTGTCACATTTACAAGTGACCACCAACTTAACAAAGAAAGTCTGCAGATAATGGGATAAAACCTGGTGCTATTAAGTGTTTACTCTTACCCAGGGCTCCCCTCCTTTCCCCCACCTTCCAGAAACAAAAGTTTGAGGTTTGAACACTGGATCAACATCATGGCCCATGAGTAGTAACCCATAAGTGCTCCGTTCTTCATCTAACTCAAGTCCGAGTCCGAAGAAGCTCAGCACAGTGCACAGGCTCTATAGCACCAGCGAGGATCCTGAAATATGTTGGGTAGATTTTTAACCCAAGTGCCGTTAGGCTACTCTTTTTTATTTCCAACTGCCAAGGGATTTTTTTATGCGCGCAACAATGCACATGGGTGTTCGATCTCACTACCCAGAGGCCAGGGAAAATTACTAGATGTCCACATGGAACAAAAATCCAAATCTCTAGCACTCGAGCCGGACACTATACCTCAGGACCATGCAGCACCCTCAGGAAGAAGGGTGCCTTTTATCTCAAAAAAAATGTCTTTTAAAAAATGGTGCAGGTATTCAGTCAAAATTCTATTCCATAAGCGCTGAAAATGAAGATAAGATGCTGATAATGTGTAGCGTTTCAAACTGCCAGGAAAAAAGGCTGCTGCTACCTTTAAATTAATACACTGCAATAGCTCAACAATTTTAGATAACAGATTGGGGTACCGAAGAACAGTCACATAATCCTGTTTACAACCCATGTCATAATAGACATAAAGAGGAAGTTAACTGGTAAAGTACTTTGCAGAATTTAAAAAAAAACTAATTTTAAAACTTTCCAATACAGGGCATTCTTACGATAATCAATATACTAAAACTAGAAGTTATGTGAATTATGAAGTGAGTGCAGTGGTCTGGCTAAGACCCCCCCCCCCCCCATCTTGTACAGACGTTCTCTTATAAAGTATTTGCTTACACATTTCATATCATTTCAAACATACTGTATTAATTTGCCATTCAGTACACTATTATTATTTTGCACTTAAACGAGACTTAGGTCCCTTGAGCCACCAGCCTCCAGCCAATATGCAAGAAAATGTATTCTTTGTCTCGGCCACTGTGATATACAAAGACATCTTCACCTGTACTGACTCTATCACTGGATTTTCTTTACTTCTTCTTAACTCTAAACTGCATTAATTTTCCAACTAAATCTGGCTATGGGCTTATGATTATGAATCTGCTTAGGCAACACATAAGAATACCATTATTATAAATACACTCGTCATATCACACTGGGGAAAACAAAAAAAAAAGAACCATATAGTTCCAGTTATTGAGACTATAGCCCTGCAGAGGCCATACAATACAATAATCTAGACTATCTGGGGGTGGGGGGGGGGGGGGGCATTCTACAATTTTAGAAAGAATTAAAAAAAAAACATTTTGCAGTTGGATTCTTTCTTACTGCACATAAAAATAGTCAGTTAAAATACAAATTCTCAGTTCTCCCAGATATATTTATATCCTAAAATAAAGTCAAAGTACAATAATCAATGTTGGATTAAGATACACTGCCCTACTTGTTAACAAGATGAAGTAGTAAACAGATCCATCCAGAAGAGTTCTTCAAACACCTTTTAAGATAAGATAGCAGAAGTTCATCAAGTATGGCTTATCAAATCAACTTTTACTAGAAGTAGAAGGCAGCTTCAGTCCCCAGTCTAAATTAAGAATAACTGACAACTACTTACCTTACAAACGTAGATTATGGAGTCCAACTAATATAAATCTAATTAAACCAGAAGCAGTGGCCGAATTTACCGAGAAGTACTATTAGTAATGTCTTGTCTATCTAATGAATGCAGTATTATAACTTTAATTAATTACGTCATTATATTAATTCTAGTTATATAACTGAACTTATAATATAATAATAATATATCCTATCAATTTATTTGCGTTGTACAGAGCAGAACGTAGTTTTCATCACCAGACAACTGAATTATAAACAGATGAATGAGAATGCATTCAACACTTACAATACACAAACGAAGACTCAAGTAGAAACGCAATTAAATAAAAATTAAACTTAACCCTAAAACTTTAAGCGGCTGATGGTTAATTAAAACTAATACTAATTTATTAAATTTATTAATTACCAAATTACATTTCAGAACACATATTAATATTACAAAGCTTTAGCCTACCTTACACTCATGTTTCCAGTAACATTATAAAGTTTATCACATGCAAAAGTAAACAATATACTAAACAACGCAGTGTGGGATGTAATGTTTATAATGCTACGGATGATTAATTAAATATAGAAAAATCGTCTGCAACAAAGCCAACGAAAAGTCAGTCCGCATTCATTATTGTCACTGTGTGTCCCTGCCAGATATTTAATTGCAGCTGCACACTAAAGCTATATTCTAGCAGCACACCTGCTTTGTTTGTTGATTAAACTGTAGGTAAACAATCTCCAGGTCCAGACTTGTGGTGAACTACTTACCTGAATGTGTGGTTTTCCCTCTTTGTGTTGTTTGTTATCAGGAAGCGGCCTTGCTGTCTCTGTGGCTAAATATAGCCAATCTCGTTGGCCCCAGGGGCAGGGCTGCCGAAGTTGGTGCTTTCGTACTCTGTTGTCCGTTGTTTTCTAATCAGTCTGTGCTGTATTTTGTATTCCGTTGATAAAGACTTTGGTCGAAACTTCGATTGTGTTTGTGTGCGTCTTTTCCATTCCCTCTGTTGAGCTTTATAATCACATTTTGTGGTACTCTTGTTCGTACACGCTTGCTGCAATTTGACCCTTGCCGAACAAAACTACTTGTAGCACAACTCATGTTCTGGTACTTTGTAGAAATTAAGCATCAATATTTTAAATGTTCGCATTGTACGCTGGATCCCAAAAATGTTTCTGAGGAAAGTCCGACGTTAATTATGTCAATAGTCATGAAATTGAACAGCCTTGTTAAAGAACAATGTTATGAACACACACACACACACACACACACACACACACACACATATATATATATATATATATATATATATATATATATATATATATATATATTATTGGAGGAGATAATGAAAGATCAAACAAATATGCTGGTTAAAGAGGAAGTGTAAACAATAACATTTTTAGCACACAAGCTGAGAAGGGAAGAGAAGCGTAGAAATGAAAATCGTTGCCATAAGTATTAAAATGTATTATTAATGTTTAGTCATGATCTCATTCCCCTGCAACTGTGGAATCAGTGTGTGTGTGTGTGTGTGTGTGTGTGTGTGTGTGTGCGTGCGTGCGTGCGTTTGCGTGTGTGTTTAAAGAATTTTAAGGTGGTTTTTTGTGGGGTAATAAAACAATTAAAATTGTGTACCGTTTCTTCTGCTTTACAAAAGGTAGTTGCGTATCCTTTACAGGACGTTGCAGAACCAACCCCAACAGCCCCTGGCTGTTGTGTGGTTTTTCTAGGCAAATTTACGTCGAGTAGTTTGCCACTGCCTCTGGACGGGGCGGCTTTCTTGATACCACTGTGGAAATCAACGCAAGACCCATGACCCGCAGCTGTGATCGAACCCAGCCTCTCAACATTACGAAATGTTCGCATCGACTTAGCCACAGAGCCGACAATACAACAAAACAAGACCAAAATTAATTCCTTTAAAAAAATATTTCGGCAGCCCTGCCCCGGGTTATAATTTGCCAGATA